TTTCAAATGGGCTTGTTGGGTCTTTGATTGATGGGATTGAAAGTATTGCTTTTGTGAAAGAGCATATGGTTAATTTGATTCAGATATTAAAATCACCCTAGCAATCAAATGCTTTAGCGAAGTAAGTCAGGATTTGAACTGGTAAAGCTACTTGTGTTTTTGAACTAGATAAAACAGTATTGCTCTCTCCTCAAGAATTGATGAATATCTTCCCCACCCCTAATACTATCTGGACATTCCTTGAGTGTAAGAAGCTAGCTATAGACATTTTTTGATAAACATCTAGTGGAAGGTTGGGTGACATTTTTGATCAAGAGCTATGCTTTTTAATATGATTGGAGTCAATCAAAAGGTTTCTCTCTTTCCAAAATGGATTTGCCACCAAGAATTGCACTGCCAGTATTCTTTGCTTTACTGCCAGACTTTGTCAGAATAAACTTGAGGAGCTTCAAGACTGAGAGAATGCTATTTGCTCACCTATGATCTAGCCCAGTACAGTATTCTTTGTTCCAGGATGAACTGGCCCTCCAGAATTGCTGGATCACCCTCGGCCAGCTGGCCAATAACAAGAGACCCAGGAATTGTAGTTCATCAATTCCTGGGAAATGTTTGCTGTCCCTGCTTGGTTTTCACTGGGTTTCCTCCAGTATCTCAGAAAGATCTTTTGTTTAATTTTCAAGGACCTTTGGCTGGAAATGCCAGATTCATCCTTGAATCGCCTGCTGAAAAGCAAGTGGATTTTTTTTTGCCCAAGTATGTTCTTTCCCTTCAAAAGTTTGATGGACAATAACTTCTTGGCTACCAATCAGGGATCAGAATTGTTTGTTTTCATTTATTGTATATTTGTTACTTATTCCTAATGTTTGAGGTGCTCTGCTGGTTGTCCAACGGCACCCAAGAGCCTTTGCTGCTGCTTTTCATATGTCACAGATACTTTTGGCTACTGTCCAGACAATAGCGTATTCTAAAATTCTGCCACCTAGCTTGATGTTTGATCTAAAGCAGTGGTGGCGAACCTATGGCACGGGTGCCAGAGGCGGCACTCAGAGCCCTCTCTGTGGGCACACACGCCGTTGTCCTAGGCCTTCAGCTGGGTTTTATAAAACCTTTTCGCTTTAGGCCTCCGCCGCCGTGTGCAAAAAAGAAAAAAGGTTCAACCAGTCAATTTCAACTTCTCGCGGGGAAAAAAAAGATCTTGCAAAGTTGGAATTGATTGATTGAACTTTTTAGTCCCACCCAGTCTGCCGTTACCAATGGGCCACACCCACCCAATGGGCCACACCCACCCAATGGGCCACACCCACCCAGCACCCAACGATGCATAAGTGGGTTTTGGATTGCTGTTTGGGCAGTCAGTCTCTGAAAGGTTCGCCATCACGGATCTAAAGGAATGTAAATGCTATTATTCTCACCATTCATCTTAGTGAAGGGTAGTTAATCCTCAAGCTACCTTGCTCAAAGGTTGCATAATAAGGTATGTGCAACAGCCAAGAATTTATAGGAAGCAATTCTTTACAGAGAGAAAAGTATGTAATTTGCTGTTGTCAGATATGATCATGGTTCCCTATGAAGATTCTCATTTTCTTGCAAGCTCACGGCTATGGAAGAGAAGGAAGGCCATAGATTTATGTCAACAGGTGGTCTACTGTCATGGTGTATAGTTGGTACTATGGGAAGCAAAAACCAAGGATAGATTGGACTTAGGAGTAGGAGAGATGTAGTAGGTATAGTAGGCGAGGCTGTGACAGACGGTTAAAAAAGCTGGGATGGTTTCCCACTTCAAGGTAGTGTTAATGATTTGGTGTTGGAAAGCAATCTGGTACCTTAGTTTTCTGGCTTCAAAAGCCAGACAAGGTTTCTCTCTCCTTTTATCCTCCTCTAAAGGCAAAATATATTGCAGCTTCTTACTATCAGAGGTGATTTGCTAGATTTAAATTCAAAGTTGTCATGGTGATCCTGGTGACTATTGTCAAGCATGTGTTGTTATGGTTACCAGTGTTGGTGGGCTTCACTGTAGGATTTGGAGATCATGCTGAAAAAATACAATACAATCCTGGGCTGTATAAACAGAGGCATAGAATCAAGATCACGAGAAGTATTAGGACCACTTTATAAAACCCTAGTAAGACCACACCTGGAATACTGCAACCAGTTTTGGTCACCATACTACAAAAAAGATGTTGAGACCTTGGAAAATGTTCAGAGAAGAGCAACTAAGATGATCAAAGGCCTGGAGACTAAAACATATGAAGAACAGCTGCAGGACTTGGGTTTGGCTATCTAAAGAAAAGAAGAAATAAGGGTGACATGATAGCAATTGAGGGGCTGGCACAAAGAAGAGGGGGTCAAATTATTCTCCAAAGCACCAGAAGGCAGGACAAGAAACAATGGTTGGAAACTGATCAAAGAGAGAAGCAACCTGGAATTAAGGAGAAACTTTCTAACAGTGAGGACAATTAACCAGTGGAACAGCTTGCTTTCAGAAATCATGGGCGCTCCATCACTGGAGGTTTTTAAGAAGAGACTGGACAGTCACTTATCTGAGATGGTATAGGTTCTCCTGCTTGAGTGGGGGCTGGACTAGAAGATCTTCAAGGTCCCTTCCAGCTTCTATTTCTATTCTATTCTATTCTATTCTATTCTATTCTATTCTATTCTATTCTATTCTATTCTATATATAATGTTCTATTCCACTATTTCCTTGACTTGATCATTGTTACTGTTGACAAAGTAAACTGTGGTCAGCAAAAGAGTGAAGTCATGGAGATATTTTTTTTTTGCAGAGGAAGGTTGAAATGGCTGAAGATTAAGTTGCGCTTTGGCTTAATATTTGTTTGTATTGTCTGAAAATGCCCTCCTGTGTTATAAATGTGATATTTAGCATCCCTGGAAATATGTCATGTTGCATTATCAATATGGCTGTGTTCCAAGACAGAGATGGTGCTCCTCAGGTTGACCTGTCTGCCAAAATTTCTCATCTCCCATCTTTTGCATCTCGAACAGCTTGAGTTCTATCATTCATCTGTCCATTTATCCTGGGCCTATACATGGTTGGAGTATATAATGCACCACACAAAGTCAGGTGTTGTCTTGGGCCATTCAGCCATAAACTGATGCAATAGCGGAGAATATACTGTACGTAAGTAAAGGCTGAACCATTGGGTGCTTGATTTTCTTCTTCTTGTTAACCAGATTTTAAGAACATCAAGAACCCAATAAATTAATGCATGATAAGAATTGTAATTAAGCTAATAAGGCTCAGATAATGAGTAGGTTTCAGAACTTTCAACTTAAACTGTTTGTTCCCTGGCATGCTATCACTTGCATCATGTACTTGATGAGTTGAATTTCAGCTCTTAGGGAAACCAAAGTGAGTTATGAGTACAGGTATGAAGCCTGTTTAAGCCTCAACACTTCCACCTCTCAAAAAAAACCAGCTGGTTATGTCACTCTGTTATTGTCAGAGCCTTTGATACCATTAATGGCCATTTATTCTTTCTTTTTTAAAATGTGGCTTCTCAATACAAGAAAAGTGTTGTTTCTTTTTTGCAGTTTGAATGAAATGAAATGAATATTTGGAAAAGTTAAAAATGTGGCCAGATAGAGAACCGGGTTTTTTGTCATAATTTCTTAGCTACATCTGGCTAGATCCAGGTAGCATGCAAAGGCATTAATCATAGTTTATTAATCACTGTGACTGAGCTCACACAACATGCAAAGCTATAAACCAATCACATTTTGTTTTGCTGCAATTGGTATTGGCCAATAACTAGTTAGGAGTCACATGTCTTAAAGACAAAAACCTTGGTTTTCTGTATATCTGATTACAACTCTTATGTTTTCCAAACATTCATTTCACTCATTCAAACTGCAAAAAGAAATAACATTGTTCTTGTATTCAGAAGCCACATTTAAAAAAAATGTTTTGGTATCTTCTTACATTGCGTGATATAAAACTCTTACACTTATATTATGTGATATAAGAAGATGGCGGAACCTGGCCAATTTCCTTTGATCTTGGAAGCTAAGAAGGGATGGGCCTGGACATGACAGCAGGCTCAACTGACAAATCAAATCTGGAAGAGCAATGCTTTCCAAAAAATATGTTTATAGGTGCTTGCCAAGATCTCACCTTAAGGATACTTCAAACGTTCAGTAAGAGGTTGAAAATGTCTGTATGTAACATGAAATAGTAGCTTTTTATTTGTTGGAACTTATTATTCATTGGATTTAGGTCTCACCTTTCCTTCAGAGACTCAAGTGGTGACATGTTACTTGTCATTCCAGATTTTCTTTGCAGTAAAAACCCTGCTAGGCGGGTTTTGCTCAGAGAAAGCAACAGGTCCCAAATTTCCCGTGATCATCCATAATCGCGGGTGGATTTGAATGTTGGCCTGATATATTGTTTTTCCATCTTTTGCAACACCATCGGCATGCTTAGTCCTTCCAAAAAGAACTAAGAAGAACATAAGCTTTTGTTTTAAGGAGGTGGCAAGGTGTAAAGTATGCTATATCTCTTTATTTAATTAGTTGCATGCCTGGACTGGTCTATAAGGAAGGCAGGTGAAAAATAATTTAATAGGTAATAATTTCTTTCGGTAGTGCTAGAAAGAGAGAGGGATACAAGTATGCAATATTTATCTTCTTTCTGGGGTAGAGATCATTTTGCTGGCAAGCTCCTTTTACATGAACATTATGAAACTTATGGGAGTGATCAGGTTGATGGTTCCTATCAAATTTCAAGCCAGGTCTCCTGGGTGCAAAATGAAATATATTTTTTGTAGGTTTTGTGGTATGTGGCTATGGTTACTTTCTTCAAAAAATTGTCTCTGTTGAGTGCTAATCTGGTTTATTCTACTTAATCTGGGACGATCTCCTGTCACTCCCAGATTGAAGCCTTCCTTCTTTTGCCCTGGTTTTTGGCTCCAGAAGATTCCAGATTGCTGATATTCAAAGCTGTAGCAGTGTATGTGACATGTTCTTTTTTTATTTCCATTTAGTTTTCATCTCCATGGGGACAGCAACATCTAAAGAAGAACCCTCCTCTGTAAAGAGTCCAGAGGCTTCAGTTGCTTTCAGCATGATTGACGTCTTCCTCTTCTCCATTGTCATTGGTCTCCTGACCTACTGGTTTTTCTTCCGTAAGAAGAAAGAGGAGATCCCAGAGTTTTCAAAAATCCAGACACCAACAGGAGGAGCAACGTAAGTGGTTGGACAGTCAGGAGCACTTAAAGCAGTGGTTCTCAACCTGTGGGTCGGGACCCCATTTGGGGTCGATCGACCATTTCACGGGGGTTGCCAAGCAAGGCTGTCCGCCATTTTTTTTGTCCGCCATTTTTTTTGTCCGCCATTTTTCCCCTTTTCCAGCGGGTGCCTTACCTCCCTTGGGCTGGGCCAGCTGGTGGTTGGCCTGCTCCGTCTCTGCCATTTGCCAGCTACGCCTCGGCCGGCACAGGGGGCGGAACCAAGCATGCGCGGCGCTCCCGGGCAGGGAAAGTCCTCGACTTACAACCGGTTGGGTAGTCCTCGACTTAGACCAGTTTAGTCCTCGACTTACGACCGGTTTAGTCCTCGACTTACGATTGGTTTAGTCCTCGACTTACGACCGGTTGGGGTCGCGGCATTAAAAAGGTTGAGAACCACTGACTTAAAGAGACCTGGCTTTCTGGGGTGGTGGATGCAGTAGGATTCTCTCACATCTGTTTAGCTTCTAAGAATTGAGTGCTGGATTTGAGCAGCTTGAATTCATTAAGGATTTAGCCTGCACTGAAAATATGGTCTCCTTGGAGTATTTTTTTTTTTTTTTTGCAATATCTTAGTGTATTATTTTATGGTGTTTGTATGCTGCAGTTATGTATTGCCCATCCCTGTCCTAGAAAAATGATCTGATTGGCTAGAAAGTATATTGTCCAGGTCATCTTTCGGGCTCACCAGGTAGGAGAAGACTGCTGTAGTTCTGTTTGAATTACCTCTTGCATATTGGTGTCATTGTGATTAGAAACAAATGCCTATGCTGATGAGGCTATTTCCATGTTATCCATTATGCATTTCCATTTTATCCACAATGAACAAAAGTCTTTTAAAAATAGACGGGGAAAAATGTTGGGTATCTGCTTTCCCCAAATCTGAGTCCTTCTGTAGGACATTAGATCAGTACTCCCTGCATTGGTTTAATGTGCAAGTAATTACTCCAAAGTTGGAATCAACAAGAGACTGGAACCTTTTGAGGAAAAAAGTTAATTTCAACTAATAAACATGTACCCTATTTGGTTGGATCAGCTTTCCCTACTTTGTGTGTTACTGTATTGAAAAAACTAATTAAAAAGCATATTCTTAATAACATAAGCTTAACTATGTTAATTGTATCTGGGTGGGGGGGGAGGGGGAGTGGAGAGAGAGAGAGCTTGTTTAAAGGTACAGAGAGGACCAGAATCTTGGCAGCAGAAGCTTTGCTGTTAAAATAGTATTGTTTTTCTTGATCAGTTTATAGGAGAGCTCATTATAATTTTTGAAAAAAAAATTCTTTCTATTTCCTACCTTTTACTATAATTTTAATAAAGATCATCTTCCACCTGAATTGGGTTAAAACTGCCAACATGATTAGTAGCCATACTTCCAAAATATTGTGCATTGTTTGGAATCATTCCCAAATATTGTTTCCAGTTTGGGACACCACATTCTGATGATTCCAACTAGGACAATTAAGGCCTCAAGGATTGTGTGTCAACTGGGTACTAAGTCCTAGGAGGAAAAAATGAGGGAACTGTGAATGTTTAGCCTTAAAAAAATATGACTGAGGGAAGATATCATATAACAATAGAGTTGGAAGGGACCTTAGGTCAACTTGCTCTTCCATGCAAATATGCTAAAGCCCTTTTCAGAATTGATTGACTGGCCTCTGTATCAAGACCTCGATCAAAGAACTCTTGACTTCATGTATAGCCTGTTCCACAGGTTGACAACTCATGCAATCTGGAAATTTCTCTTGATGTCTAGTCTAAATTGACTTCCTTGTATTTGTAACTTGTTGCCTGGGGCAATAGGGAATAAATTTTGTCCCTCTTCTATGTCAATCCTTCAGATACTTGAAGACTAGATTCTATCTCCACTTGTTTCTTCTGTAGGTTAAACACCCTAAGATCCTTTAACTCAGCGGCTCCCAACCTTTTCTATACCCCACATCCCTAGAACACTTCTGATATATTCTCACACCCCTTACAAAAGTTCAAAATAACAGCCGACGAATTATGCATATACACTATAATTTTGAAAACCCAAGTTTTCACACCTCCTGGAATATCCTCTCACACCCCTGGTTGGGAACCCCTGCTTTAACTGCTCCTAATAGAGCTTAGTTTACAGATTCTTCACCATTGTAAAATCCGTTCTCTGAACTTGCTTCAAATTGACACTGTCAAACTATGTCAAATTGAAAGCTGCCCAGAGTTGGATATAGGATTTCAGTGGGGTCTGACCAAGGGAGGGTGGAACTGGAACCATTACTTTTTATGATCTCTATTCTGTGTTCCTGTTAATATATCCCAAGATAGTCATTTTTTGCTGAATATTAGAAATAATTTCCTCAGGGTCAGGATGTTTTACTAATGGAACCTGTTATTAAGCTGACAGATGGGGCTCAATGGTCTAAATGGCACATCCGGTGTTCTGATCTAGGCATTGGGCTAAAGCAGGGATTTTCAACCAATGGTACGGGTACCACCTGTGGTACATTGGCACCTGGCAGGTGGTACGCGACCGTCCTAGAAAAGTGGTAGCGGGGGAGAGGAATGAGCTGAACCGGTGGCAGCACCACACAAGCCTGAGCGAGAGATGGCTGGAGCTGCAGGGCTGTCAGGGCTCAGCGGAAGCGCCAGGATCAGTGCCGCTTTCCAGCTGATCGGCGCTTCTTTGGGGCTATCAGGGCTCAGTGGAAATGCCAGGATGAGCGCCAGGCTCCAGCTGGAGCTCGGCGCTGATCCTGGTGCTTCTGCTGAGCCCTGAAGAAGCACCAATCAGCTGGAAAGCAGCACTGATCCTGGCACTTCTGCTGAGCCCAGAAGAAGCACCGATCAGCTGGAATATTGCAGCATCTCCAGGGTCTTGTGATTTACATTCAGATGCTTGGCAACTGATTCATATTTATGACCGTCACAGTGTCCCAGGGTCATGTGAAGTGACCAAAACCTGCTGCAACCACCCAGCAGACGGGGGGAATAAAAACCAACCACACCCCTACCCCACCCCCACTGCCAATCCTCAACAGAAATGCTCACAGCAATGAAAACCTTGGACAGGAGGAAGAGCGCCGCTGGGTGGGCAGGCAGGTGTCTTGCTCGGCTGTGGCTTGGGGGGCACTTTTTTCAGTGCCATTATAACTTCAAACAGTCACTAAGCGAGCTGTTGTAAGTCGAGGACTACCTGTACTTTATCACTTTTTTCCTTTTTTTTTTTTTTTGGTCATCAAGTTTTTGACACTTTGCTACGCGACTGGTGGTACTCGAATATTGCCATATCCTAAAAGTGGTACAATGGGTGAAAAGGTTGAAAAGCCCTGGGCTAAAGATATTATTATTCCCAGTCATCTCTGAGATTATAGTGTTAAATTCACAGCCTTGAATGAGTCTTTCCACTTCTGTGAGTCTGTGAATGCTGGGACATTGGTGGTGCTGTAGGGAATGAGTTAGCTCTGAGAACCTGAGAATGAGTTAGCTTTGAGATTAAATGTGCCTGAATCCTTGCATGATTTTCTTGGCCCAGTGACTGAGAAGAAGAGCTTTGGGTCCTGAAGACCTGAGTTCCTAAATGCCCCCAAATGAGTTGATCCTATATATCTCCTGTATTGCCATCCAACAAATCTGGAAGGCACAAGTCTGGGAAACAATGGGAGCTTTCTCCCAACACATCTGGAGGGCATCAAGCTTCCTGTAAGCAAAAAAAAGAAGACAATGCTAATGGGTGGTGCTGAACTCTCATTCCTCCTTTCGATGGAGTTGTGTTACTTTCCAGAATGAGGGGCCTGTGGGAAACAAGAGGCAGTGGGAAGGCTGCTTTATTACCTTCAAGGAGACCTTGAATTCAATAGATAAGGGTTTAGACTTGATTATGTTGACCTTTCTTCTTTCCCACTCCTAATGGAAACAATTTGGACAGGATCTCTTTTATGTATCTTGCTTTCGGAACTTCCAAGTAGCTTTCCGAAGAGGTTCTGCAGCAGCGAAGGGCACTTCTCAAAAAATTTTTTAAAAAAGGAAAGAGTCTTCTATTTATTTTCAAAAGACCTATGATGTAAACCAGTTGCTAAGGCAATGGAGGTCTCTCGCTGAGAAGCTCCCCCTGCTCACTCTTGAATGGTAAAAGTAGGGAGGGAGGGTGCGAGGGTCCTTGGGAATTTTCATTCTTAAAAGTCTTTTTCTTTCTCATTCCTTTTGGCTGCTGCCAGATGTTGACATTCTTGGGTTTGTGCCGGGCCCTCTGGGTAATTCTGAAAGCAGCCGGCACGAATCCCAGAGGATCAGGCTGCTGGTGCCGTCTGACTCGAGGGGTTGGTATGCAGGCTTTGCTGGGCTATAACAAAAGGAGGCCGGCCGCTCACTGGAAGGTCCAAGAGGGGTACTGTGAGGAAGGCTGGAGACGCTTTGCTTCAGAGGGAAGTTGAGCTGTCTGCAGCCAGTATGAAATTGCAGGGTTGTGAAATACTGTGTCTCTCTGCTGTTTCCAATTCACTATGGGTTGCGCATATTCGGCAGGAGAGGAGACTTTTCCTGGGAGGTAAGTTAACCTAGATGGTTTGGAAGCCTGCCCACGATGGCCTTGGGAATTGGGGGTCTGCTGAACAGGGGCAGGGGCTTTTCAAGTCTTTTCAGTGCAAAAACTGGCTTGGCAGCAGCTTTGATTCAGGAAAAGTGCTCTGACACGAACGTGGATGTTGCCACGAGAGGCCACTATTTTGGGGGGGGGGTGATGCTGGGAAGTTTTTCTTTCCTCCGCCCTCCGCACCCGCTTATGTAAAACTGAGCTCTTGCTGTTGGAGAGATGAAATAAAGCAGAAATTTTTATTTGTCAGGGAAAGTTATTTTTCAACTGAAAGCTAACTCTTTAAGATACTTGCCTCGTGCAGGATACCAAAGGAAGAAATGATAGCTCAGAAATAGAGCACATTAAGAACAGAAGAGCTGTGCTACATCAAACTGAAAACCCATTTTTTCACCCCATAACATCCGTGAGCCCCATAAGCAAGAGATAGACACATAGTACCCTCTTGCTGTATTTCCCAAGTAATTCAGACTGAGAGGAATACTTGTTTTGGTAGTAGAGCTAACACACAAGTGTCATTGACTAGACAACTCTTCTCTGTTCGTTATCTGGTTACCTCCAAAGTGAATAGCTGCATTGTGCTTAACTTGGGGTTACCGCTTGGAAAAGCGTTCACAATCTTCTGCTGGCTAGATACTGGGGTGTGTGTGTGTGTGTTTGTATGTATAGGAGAGACTTATTAGTCTACAGTGGCAAAACCCCAGTTTGGTAGTAACTAACTACTAACCTGCTGAACATTTTATTAAACTCTTAGAAGTTTATGCCTTTTAATAAAACATGCTAGTTGGAAAAGATGGACTTTGAAAAACAGGACATTCTTTAAGGCAGTGGTGGCGAACCTATGGCACGCGTGCCAGAGGCGGCACTCGAAGCCCTCTCTGTGGGCATGCGCGCTGCGCCCCAGCCCCGCCTCCCCTGTGGCCCCCTCCTCACCAGCAGCCCCCCTGGAGGAGAGTCGCCCCCGGGCATGGCCCACACGGAGCAGCGCAGCCAAGGACATAGCCGGGGAGCAGGGACAAGACTTCACCCTTGCACCCCATAGCGTGCAGATGATGCTGCAGGGTGTGGGCGGAGGGCGTGACTGCCCTGGCGCTGCAGGGCTGCCTGGGCAATCTGCTGTGGCAGGCCATGGAGGCGGTGCGTGGCCCTTTGGGTGGGCGGGACAGGGGGCAGGTGGGGGCGGAGCAGGCAGGGCAGGAGGTGGAGCAGAGGCGGGGGGAGGGTTTGGGGCACTCGGTCTCTAAAACGTTCACCATCACCGCTTTAAGGTGTTTCAGGCTACTCTTGAATGTGTTGTTTGTTAATCCTTAACAGCTCAGTAATGTTTTTCCCAAGCTGCAAAGGGGAATGAATGTCTGAAGAAGTGAGATTCCCCCTTCCTGTCCCTGTCACTTAGCCATTCTCCATAGGAAGCAGTGCTAGAAAAAGGATTAACTTTTGGGCATTGTTTATGTTCTACTGATAATTGGGGTATGTGAAACAGAGGATCTTGCATGTGGATTGTGAAAAGGAACTTATGCTCCAGGCCGATGTTTCTCAACCTTATGGTTGAGAATTCTGAGAGTTCAAGTTCACAAATCTTAAGGTTGCCAAGGTTGAGAAATCTCGCTCAAGTCTTCTGACTTCAGAAAACATTGGTTATGATGCAGCTGATAGAGACTATTGATCTTGGTCTGGTGGTAAAATAGCATCACCGATCGTTATGCAGTTGCCAGCTCAGTCTTGCTGAACTTGGTGCCTGCTAACTATGATGGCTTATCATCATAGCCCCAAAATAATAATATTATTTATGCCACTGAAATGATAGGAGCTTTAGTTTTGACAGAAGTTGATCAGTAGCAGATTGGAAAATCCGCCGAGCCAATGTGATAGTTTGGTACATAGCTGAAACTGTGAACGTTTCAAAACCAACCCTTTCCTTCTCTCTTTTATAGTGGGCAGTCAGCAAATGAAAACAGTTTTATTGAAAAAATGAAAAAAACGGTAAGCTTCGTTTCATTATTTTCATGTTAGTCCTTACTGAAACAGGCTTGTTATCCGGGTTTTTCCAGCCATTTCAGCCTCTCTTCTGTATTTTGAGGGCCAGCTGGCAGCAGAATGTAGATTTTTTGGGGAAAATATTTTTCAGTATTGGATTCCCAGATGTAGTTGGAGTACAGCATCTACTCTTCTTAATCATGAGGCTGGGAATAATGAATATTAGAGAAAACCTCCTCTGGAGAAGGCTTGTCATGCTGGGAGAAGTCATGTTTGTGTAAAATATATATTTAGCATAAAATATGGCTAAGAAATTAATTATTTGTACATTAACTTTTTGGATTGCCCAGAATCTACAAAATCTAGTTTCTTGGGTGGCATACAAACCCAGTGGTAATACTACAGCTAGTCCTCGACTTAACAACAGTTCATTTGGTGACTGTTCAAAGTTACGATGACACTGAAAAAAGTGACATGACCATTTTTTATACTTAACAACCATTGAAGCATCCCCACAGTCACATGATCAAAATTCAGAGGCTTGTCAACTGACTCATAATTCCAATGGTCACAGTGTCCCAGGGTCATGTGATCCCTTTTTGTGACCTTCTGACACATGCTGGCTGCAACAAGTCATAATAATAATAATAATAATAATAATAATAATAATAATAATAATAATAATAATAATAATAATAATAATAATAATAATAATAATAATAATAATAATAATAATAATGTGATTGCTATCTTTCTTTCTGTTTCTTTTCTCTTTTAGATTATTTTGTAATTAAAATAAAATCCTACAAGAGAAAATACAAATAACAATAGCACTGTCTTAGACTTATATTCAGTGGTGGGATTCAAATATGTGAACAACCGGTTCTCTGTGTGGATGCCGCTTCCGGAAGTCCATTCTGGGCCTGGGCAACAAAAAAATTAGCTATCAGTTCTGCCGAAGTGGTGTGAACTGGCTGAATCCCACCACTGCTTATATTTCCTAACCCTCTCTAAGTGGTTTACAGAGTCAGCATCTTGCCCCCAACAATCTGGGTCCTCAGTTTACTGACCACGAAAGGATGGAAGTCTGAGTCCACCTTGAGCCGGTGAGAATTGAACTGCCAAACTGCAGACAGTTGGCAGTCAGCAGAATTAGCCTGCTAGGCTGCATTCTAACCATTGCCCCACCAGGGCTCTTGAATAACAAATTCCAAGAACAATAAAAACCATACAAAATAAACGCATAAAATCACAATAAAACTAGTAGCAAAACAATATCCAAGAATTTACTTAATTCTTAAACACTTCCTGGTAACAAAGATCAAAAAATAGGCATTATGCAAGTTGTGATAGGAAAGATATTTTAAAAAATGGGGTGCTGCTAATGAAAATCCTTTTTTTTGCCTGCCTTGTAGAAGGATCTTGGATAAAAAATTGGGTTGATTGGATTCTAAGCCACTAGAAAACTCACATTTTATATTGGGCTTAGAAACAAACTAGCAGTCAGGGCAGAAGGCAAGTCATCACCTTAATAGCCTGTCTTAGCCTCTCCCAATTAGCAGCAGTCTGGTTTCCCTACTTTAAAACTGGCATTTCTGGGCTGATTTGAAAATGTTCCCATGTATGCCATGCAATAATCCAGACAGTATTACAATGCTGTCTCTGTCCAACTTGGATAATAGCTTGACTGACTGAGAGAATGTGTCCTTGACTTATGACCACAATTGAGCCCAATACTTATGTTGCTAAGTGAATTGCTAAGTGAGATATTCTTAAGGGAGTTTTGCCCCATTTTATGACCTATCTTGCCATGCTTGTTAAGTGAATCACTGCAGTTTGTTAAATTAGTAACACCGCTGTTAAACAAATCTGGCTTCCCCCTTGACTTTGCTGGTCAGAAGGTCACCAAAGGAGATCACATGACCCCAGGACACTGCAATTGTCATAAATGGGAGTCAGTTGGGGATGCTGCAGTGGTTGTAAGTATAAAAAACGGTTGTAAGTCGCTCTTCTCAGTGCCATTGTAACTTTGAACGGTCATTGAATGAAGTATTGTAAGTCAAGCTCTACCTGTATATGCAAACCAGAATAAACTCATGGTGGCTTACAGCATAAGCAGGCTAGGAGACGCTTTATGGACAAGAAGTATTCCCAGGAGAAGAAATTTGCTGAATATTCACTCTCCCACACTCTCGGCCAAGGAATGCTATCCCAAGAAGCCTCAAGGTGATTCTGTGCCACTCCTTATCTAATCCAGGAGTGAAGTAGCTGCAGAGACCTGCTCTGTAGCTATCAAATCAGCCACTGTCTAGTACAGGGGTAGGCAACCTTGGCTTTTTTATGACTCATGGATTTCAACTCCCAGAATTGGCTCAGGAATTCTGGGAGTTGAAGTCCATGAGTCATAAAAGAGCCAAGGTTGCCTACCCCTGGTCTAGTAGAACAAAGATATATGCTGCTATATATATTTGCAAAACGGGAAGAGAATTAATTTTTCTTTTCTTTCAGCACTCAGCCAGGGTGGATCCTACATGTTAAACGTTAAATTTAATTGACCACTTTTTCCTCTTTTTTTGTACACTGTTTTTTTTAGGGCTGAATGTATGTTTTTGTTTTGTTTCCTTTTGTTTTTTTGTTTTTGTTTTACTGATCTGTATTTTATTCTCTCTGATAAAACAATACATTTAAATTAAAAAAAAGAAGAAGTATACCCCCAGGCTCTTTGCCTGATCCTTTAGCGTTGGGTTAACCAGCTTGGCTCCTGCAATCTTTTCACATAGTTTTTGTGCAACTCCCAGTGTGATTTTGGCCGTTTTAAACTCCTCCTTTTTTCCCTTCTGTTTGCTGACTCTGAATTTGGCCATACCAGCAGGAACAGACTTGCCCTAAAACAACGCACCTCATCCTAACCCGAGTGCCCATCTAGGATGCAATTTGCTGTGGCAAAGAAGCTACTAAAAAGTCCAAGAGAACTTCAAGCTGATATTTCACATAATGTATCCCTATCCCCTTTCTGGTCATCCAATAGAAAGACAAGATCATTTCTGCTTTCAGTTTGGATTTCAGTGATCTAGAGAATAGGCCTGGAGTTAATCAACTACCACTCCTCCGATCCAGTATTGGTGAAAATAATTTATAATTATTTTCATCCTCCATTTGCTGGATAGGTTTCTTTAGGAGTGACCAGATCAGTTTGTTTATTAGATGCCAGGACTTCCCACTTTCTCAAGGAGGAGTTTATAAGCTGTTGGATAAGTAGGTAGTATACATTTCCTTTAGTTTGTTTACAATTTAAGACAAAGAAAGCACAGAGAACAGTTAACACAATAATTTTAGCATTCCCCAAAGAATTGCAAAGGGTTTTTGAATATGCATTTGTTTTTTTCTGGAAAAACCACATGTAAAGTGTTAGCTGTAACTTGTTCAGTCTATTCTCTACGCGTTCTGTTACTAATTAGCTTTACGAAAGATTTCATGCTTAAGCTTTATGTAGAGTTGCCTGCAACTGAATATAGGTATTGCCACATACTTACACTGCAAAGTGGTTGATGGATAAACACAGGTTGCAGATGGCTATAGTTGGGCTGATATGCACACCTCCCAAATCCCAACTGTGTGTTGTGCAGAGTTGCATGTCCTTCCTGTTCTGTGCTTTGATGTTTATCCCCTAGCCAGAATGTTGCTGGCAGAAATATAAATGGGACATCTATACAACCGTCCCAAATAGCAGAGGCATATGTTCCCTGATGTTTAGTGTCAGAGAAATCTACTTGAACCTTTACAATTGGAAACGTTTCCTCAGGAAACTTCATAACAACAAATGGAGTACAATTCCACTTACACAATTTAAAGGGGGAAATAAAAACTCACCCATCTCATATAATACCTAGTTTTGTCCCAAGAGAGGGCAAGTGATATTACATGCATTCTGATGAACACATTGATGCAAATTACACATGTAATTGAGGTCATGGAGCAGGTGATTATCATGTCTTCTAGAGATGCTTAATTTTTGGCTTGCCTGAAAGGTGTGCCAAAAGTAAATATGTTTCCCTCTGATAGACTTTGGAAGAATAAATTAATTTCTGTTTTGATTTCAGACCTGGTTGGTGATAAAAGTAGAAATTATGATCTAGAACTACTGTAATGCTCTCTACATGGGGCTTCCCTTGAGGAGCACTCGGAGGCTCCAGTTAGTTCAGAATGTGGCCGCGCGGGCGGTGATGGATGTAACGCCGCTGCTGCGCGAGCTGCACTGGCTGCCTGTGGTCTTCCGAGTGCGCTTCAAGGTGCTGATTATCACCTTTAAAGCGCGCCATGGCATCGGACCTGGTTACCTCCGAGACCGCCTTCTGCCACAGATTACCTCCCACCGGCCGATACGCTCCCACAGAGAGGGCCTCCTCAGGGTGCCGCCAACCAGACAGTGTTGGTTGGCGACCCCCAGGGGGAGAGCCTTCTCTGTCGGAGCGCCCACCCTCTGGAACGAGCTGTCCCCAGAGATCCGGGTGATTCCGGATCTCCCCTCCTTCCGCCGCGCCCTCAAGACTTGGCTGTTTCAGCAGGCAGGACTGGCTTAGGGGGTATTTTAATTGGTTTTAATTGGTTTTAACAAAATTTTAATAGAGCGGCCAATTCAAATATTTATTCTTAATTATTTTAGATTTGTATTTGGTATTTATGTGGGATTGTTTTAAACTGGCTGTAAGCCGCCCTGAGTCCTCCGGGAGAAGGGTGGGGTATAAATGAAATAAATAAAATAAATAAATAAATAAAATAAATAAATAGAATAAGTAGCTTTATTGAAGCTGAGCAGTTCCAAAGTCATTGCTAAACTTACTTTATCATATTTTGTTTTCCTTCCCAGGGAAAAAATATTGTGGTATTCTATGGATCTCAAACAGGGACTGCTGAAGAATTTGCCAACCGCCTTTCAAAAGATGCTCATCGTTACGGGATGCGGGGCATGTCTGCTGATCCAGAAGAATATGACGTGGTATGTTCTCGGCAGTCTTTCCACCCTTTTCAATCCTTGCTGGTGTCACCTGAATTTGAGGTTACATTGTCCTACCAGCTCTGCTGAGATTCGAATTTACTAAATACCAGAAGATTGCAGTCAAGGAAGTGCTCACGATGTGCATCAGGAGGAGAAACTCTTAATGTGCATAAGTAATAATTCAGTCTTTCCCAACCTGGTGCTATCCCTATGTGATAGGACTCCAGCTTGCTGAATTCTCCAGCCAGTGTGGTTTGACAAAATAGGAATTTATATAAATTTTAGTTCCCTCCACATTAGGACGGCAACTGAATTGGGGAAGATTGCATAAGAAGAGCAATAGCACTTATACACTGCTTCATAGTGCTTTACATTCCTCTGTAAGTGGTTTACAGAGTCATCATGTTGCCCCCGACAATCTGGGCCCTCATTTTATCGATCTCAGAAGGATGGAAGGCTGAGTCAATCTTGAGTCAGTCAGGACTGAATTGCTGGCAATCAGCAGTGTTTAGCCTGCAATACTTCATTCTAATCACTGCTTTCTACTAGCTAGAGCAGGGGTAGGCAACCTTGGCTCTTTTATGACTCGTGGACTTCAACTCCCAGAATTCCTGAGCCAGCTGCGCTGGCTCAGGAATTCTGGGAATTGAAGTCCACGAGTCATAAAAGAGCCAAGGTTGCCTACCCCTGAGCTAGAGTCTACTAACTTTTTCTTCCTGATGCCTCTCCAATTTCTCCAGCAGAAGGGAAGCAGCAATGTAGCTGCACTAGGCTGCCAGGATCTAAAGAACAAAAACAGGTTTTAATTTTCCTTCTTCTTTAGACAGCAGGGGCTGGGTCTATAACTTCACGCTTCTAAGAGTTCTACTGTTATCTTCAACCTGCAGGGAAAATTGCAATCAGCACAGTTGGATAGCTTCAGGTTGGGGAAAGCTGCATTCAGTTATAATTTAGTGTAATTATCACTTGCTGTTTTAGCGAAGCATGGCCTTGTACGCTGAATGCCTTGTCATCTCTCAAAAGGCTCTGACAAACTTTCAAAATTAAGATTATAATAATGACAACCAAAATAAAAGAATGGCTGGAACTGTATGACATTTAGATGATTTTTGTGAGAAGAAAAGGAATCGAGTGAAGTATTATCAAGTCTTGCTCAGGACCTGAAAACCTAAGTCAGTGATGGCGAACCTTTTAGAGACCGAGTGCCCAAACTGCAACCCAAAACCCATTTATGCATCGTTGGGTGCCGGGTGGGTGTGCCCCATTGGTTGGGTGTGGCCCATTGGGTGGGCATGGCTGTGGTGGTAATGGCAGACTGGGTGGGACTAAAAAGTTCCAATCAATCAATTCCAACTTTGCAAGATCTTTTTTTTCCCGCGAGAAGTTGAAATTGACTGATTGATTGAACCTTTCTTTTTGTACACGGCGGCGGAGGCCTAAAGCGAAAAGGTTTTATAAAACCCAGCTGAAGGCCTAGGACTGGGGCGACGGTGCGTGTGCCCACAGAGAGGGCTCTGAGTGCCGCCTTTGGCACCCGTGCCATAGGTTCGCCACCACTGACCTAAGTGAATCTTGTAGAATCTCCAGTGTTTTTCTTAACTTGTTAGCATTGTGGACGTGGATTTCTCCTGGATAGAAAGGAAAGCTGGTGTTTCTGAGTTCCTTATTTTGTATACCCTCTCTCTCATATAGTCGGACCTGACTCATTTGTCGGAAATTGAAAAGTCTCTGGCAATCTTCTGCATGGCCACCTACGGAGAAGGGGATCCCACCGATAATGCCCAAGATTTCTACGACTGGTTGCAAGACACAGATGCCAAACTGTCTGGTATAAAATATGCGGTGAGCTTCGATTATTATCTCTTCGCTGCTACTCTTGTGGCGGGAGACAGTGGATATGATGCTTGAGAAACTAAAGGGTGCTGCCTAGAAGTTGAGACCATTTCATTGCAGTGGGGATATGAACTCTGAATATACAAAACCCACCAGGATGCATCCCTTATGCACTTCAAGAAAGCTAGGGGGTAGTCCCAGAAAATTATTATGATCAAGTGTTATGGTTATCTTCAATTCCTGACACGAATGCTCATTTTGCAAATTCTAATCTGAGAAGAATCAGAGTCATATTAGAGAGGGAAGTCCAAAGGGCAAAGGGCAAAGGTTATTACTTGCACAAGTGCATGTATGCAGAGTTGGAAGATATTTTTAGACCTCACCTAGCTTAACTCCCTGCTCAGCATGGATTAAGTAGAGCAATCCAGATATCCTTGTTTGTTCAGTCCTTGTTTGAAGACCATCAGTAAGGTCCCCCTTCTTTCCCATTCTCCTCCTGTTCTGTTGAATGTTCAAAATTTCCAATTCCTTTCTACTCTTATTTTTACAGCAATTGTGTTTACTGAGAGTTATTAGGTATCGGTAGGATGGTGTTCACACCCGCACTCCCTTCTCCCAAGCA